TTGTCGGTGTACGGTCACGTGATTGCCGAAATTTCTAAGATGGATCGATTTTCTAAGCTATGGGACTTCGAATTGAGCCCGTGATCAAATAAAATATCAGCGCAAAACTTTAAACACTACGTGACCTCAATAGATAGACAAATGAGCCCGCCATACACTCAGGTGATGATGGTCAGCGTATACTCTAGTTTGACAGCTGTCAATTAAGAATGGCGAATATTCGAATTAACAGACTACGAGTGTGAGTATCTTGAATTGGTAAGTGTGACATATTATATCAGCTTATATGTAGGGGCAAAACGACTGGTCTTTCACCTGAGCCCGCGAGATAGTCATGTGATAATTGTCAGCGGATGCCTAATTTTGACAGCTGTCAATCTAATCGTACTCATACGGATAGCTTACATAACTAAGAGGCTAGCCAAGTTGTGCAAAATCTATTGTGACATTTGACATCGGCTTACATGAAGCGTGTGTGCGTGTGTACGGGTGTACGGGTGGGCGGGCGTACGGGTGGGCGGGCGTACGCTACGTCATAACCAAATTTTCTCAGATGGATAGTTTACCAAATTTTCTTACCCATGGTGCTCCGCTAAAAAGATCTAAAGAAAGTTGGGAGGCCTTATTTTAAAATTTAGCGCCCCTTAAATCCTTAACGACATAATTATCTGTTAATATTTCAGTCAGTCATATGCATTGTTGGCAAGCGCTGAAATTGACAGAATGTGATTAGAGAAAAAAACCGACAAAGAACAAGTGTTTTGACTCCCCGGCTTAACAATCAGCTACACGCGAGTAGACTTACGCGATATCGAAAAACATGAAAACATGTGAATCGAGGTAAAACGCAATGCTGAGCTCATTTTCTAATCTCTAAGGCTACTTTCAGCAAAACAGCGATTAAACTAAAATTGACGATAGATTTTCTTTAAACAAAATTTCAGTGCTTCAATTGATCAGTTTCTTATAAAATACCCGATTTTCGTGCCCATTGAAACAGATATTCCTTGCTACAGCCAAAATAAAACCTTACCACAAATTTGCACTTGCTGGAGACGTCTTCTGGACGTTTCCGTTCGCAAATCAACCAATCATATAGTTACTGTATATCACGTGCGGGGAATCCCCTTGAATGGTTGCTAGCATATATAATCTCACAATGAAATGACTATCCTGCGACTCTCCTATTCAGTTTCTGTGAAAGTTGATCGGAGTCTGCATGTGCTTACGCTCGACTCCGTTTATCGAAGCAAGATAGCGCGAAAATGTTTTCTGACTTGGCGTTGGTTATCTTGGCTCTTTTTGTTTTTGTTTGGGGGTGTATGATGCTAGAAAGAAGAAACAATAACTCAGGGGAAAGAAAGTCAACAGGGAAGCCGAGAAAACGCAAAAGAGCGGCACGAAGCCATTGAGAAGACCCTCACTACATGACCCAGCGTAAACCCGA